CCATGTAATTTAGACTCAGACAACCGCTATGTCGGTAATTTAAATGCTAATCGATATATGAAACTCTCGGTCATGTTTATTCAATTATTCTATGAAACGTTATAATTAACGATTGTCCACACCTCGATTGTTTAACGTAAGCATACCGAATGGGTTTAGTATTGTTAACTTGACGATTAGTTGTGTGGTCATCTATAGGCTGATACTATCAAACGTGGGTTTTAGTTGATCGGCCCCTATAGTCTAAGTACGGTATAATTATTTTGTAGTGTCCTGATAGTTTTGAACGATAGATAATCATGATAAGCGATAATCCAGAGCGATACAAGTTCCATATATTCTTTTTAGGAGGAATGTTTTCGATAGCGAGTTCAAGAAAATTCGATTTTACTATTTTTTCTCATTCCCTAGAAAAAATTAACTATTTGGGGGCGTGGATTCTCCAATATGCCGCCCACTTACAGGCGAGAGGGTAGGTCCGGGGAAAAGATTTAATGTTGGCAAAGAAAAACAAAGAAAGTAAATTCTGTTGTCACTAGGTAATTCAACTAAACTGTTTATATTTTGAAATTTGTAAAAATAATTTAAAACCATGGAAACAATGCATTACATCTTCATTTATGGCGATGCAGTATCAACATATTCAACTCAGGATGGAATAGTGAGTAAAATTCTTAATATCTAGCGTAGGTTCCTTCATGAGTATGATATCCTAAAAACCTCATGGTGTAGTAAAGTATGAAGTATTGTACTATTATTGCTACCAATCGTAATTTCATTACATGGAAATTGTTGAAATATACGGGAAGTGTAACTGTCAACTATTTAGGAATCGTATTTAATTTCAGTGTCATGATAATCAAGACGTTTGTTGACAAAATGTTTTTTTGGTATCTATTAAGTTAGGGGAAATGCCAGAATCAGTGGTGTAGTCTGTGAGACGTGCACGTGACTAATGGAGTTTATTAACCAGTCATGTATTTTTCTACCCTCGTAATAAATAGGAGAGTTCATGGTTCCTTATTTGCACGAGTCGAACCGAGGCGCGTCTCGATCCTACCCTTGCGAATTCTTCGGACATGGGGTTGACAGTTGCTTTTCTGTCCGTTTCCCTTCCACCATCATGTGAAATGGTATTTAAGTTGGCATATTATTATCCTCTCACTTACCAAAGAGGATTTCAGAGAATTCTTATAAGGAGTTAACCTCCAGTTGGACAAAGAATAACAAAAATAATAACAAATATGTATTGATGAGAGTTCATGTTCAATAATGAGATCTAAGAACTTGATTTTCATACTTTCAGTAGTTTTATATGTATACGGATCATAGCTGTTTTACAAACTGTTTGTAAGTTAATTTGGAAATCTTTTAAAATGATTGTCGATGCAAATTACCCAATAATATTATTAGAAATCATCTCAGTTTAGACCACAAAGATAAAACTGTCATTTGTGCACATTTAAATATACTATGTTGAGCAAGATTTGAGTTGTTTGAACAAAAACTCTACAGAGTGTGCTCATATCAACTAGAAAATTGTTTAACATCTGGTAGCTTTGACTGCTGGTAGACATAAATGAAAAGTAGCATTACCAAAACAAATATTGAGACTCTGACTATAAAAATGTTCAAATAAAATTTTAAAGAAAATCTTTAACGTAAAAAAACTTTAATGAGATTTACTTACTGTATACTGTAATCCTTAGCAGTCGGGGAAAATATTGAGATATGTTACAGTACTGAATCTGGTGTATTTAGTTTTAAATGTTTACTCATTTTTTACCAAATTTTAAATAGGCCTAATAGTAATTGAACTGAACATTTTATATGGAATTTATTGCTTTTGTAATTTAATACTATAACCACAGAGAAAAAAAATGCTGTGACATTTCCTTTATAATAGAGAAACAAAGCTATAAGTGGCTTTTTTATTAAGAATACAGTAAAACTAGCTAATTTGACTAAACTATATTTTTTCAAACGAAACTGATTCCATAGTATGCCTATATTGAAATTAAGAACAAGCTTACATATTGCTTTAATTAAAAAAAAATTACAATATAATTTTGTTTTTCTGTTTCATCACTTCACATCAATAAATGGAGTGCACGAGTCTCTGTCCATAACAAAAGGAAAATGTTAGTGCTGAAATTGTATAGAAGAAAATTAAGAGAAGCAAGAGCAGGGAGGTGTTAGAAATACTGGAACAGTACAACAAATGGAGAGAATTGTGAGCAAAGGCTAGAAACTCAAAGAATGTGTCAAGGCAAATCAAATAACTAAATCTCTAAAAGTTTACGAAGAACCATGATACCGTGATTTTGCAATAAACTTTCAAATGTTTTATTGTTCAGTTACTTACAGTATCCTTTAGGTGTTAAGATTCATGATGATTGTTGTTACATAAGTTTTTATCTTAGTTTTATTTTTTTACTTTCTTCCCCTATACATATTTAAATATGGAGAAAGTATCGTTTTCGTTAAAATTTTCGAGTTTGATTTTTGAATGGATATATCAATTTTGAGTCCCCCTGAACCAAAGAAAAGTGGGTTTCGAACTTGAAAACCACTGTGTGTCTGCGTGTGTACAGAGCTACAGACCACACCTGTAGTCCGATTTTGATGAAATTTGGTATGTAGGTACAAATTCATGGTATCTCCAGGCGTTTTTTCATTTCTTTTATTTAAAAATTAAATATAAAATATTTACTCTCACCGTTTATGATAAAAGGTTGATGACAAGCTTATGGGAGAAAATATGTGTCAGAATGCTGATACCATTTATTTCTAATTGTTGTACATACTGCACGTTATATAGGTAAATAATATAAAACCCATATACTTTGTTGTGTTTACGTAATTAAGAATGTCATTCGGATTCAAAGATTCAAAATTTATTATGAAAAAATATCTGTTTTCATCAATTTTGTTTTAGGTGCATTAGGAATGATTCGGTTTTATGACTTTTAACTGACTACACTAATACCATTAACTATTGGATACCGAAGTTGTATTAATAGTCAAAGCTACCATAAACGCTCAAATGGAAAAATATTTTTCTTCAATTCTCCCACTTGTGATATTAGGAAACTGGTGGCGAGGAGCAGCAGTCCGGGATCCTTATCCGAGCTACGTACGAGACTTGTTCTTCACACGTTTTTTCTCCACCTCCGTTTCGGTGGTCACGTCGGAGCGTCGTCAAGGCCGAAAGACAAAGCCGAAGGTTGGTGTCCGAGGCGGAACCGATGGACGTGCGACAACCTGCCACCGTGGTCAAGCCATCCACTTACTACTGAGGGTATAGACCAAACACCAAACCGATACAACTGTACTGTACAACCTCCGACACAAAGACAATGTCGACAACGCGAACTGCTAAGCACTACTGCACAAAATTCAATTTTTTTGTTGTAGTTACCATTTTCTCAAATTGTAGGTATTATAGACATTAAAATAAATAATGAAAGAATGTAAATTAGCAAGAGTGCTGAGTGTGCTTTGCATTATTGTCGCTCGAAATAGAATAAGGGCCAAACTCGAACTGACAGAATAAACTTTTTTTGTGCTGTGGCTGCTCTCAAGACGTATATGGTCAGTATACGATCATGACAATTGAAATGGTCAGGGTATCTATATATCTGTTGCTCAGAATAGAATAGATGCTAGACACAAACTGAACAACAAAAATATTCTTATGAGGCAGAGGTAGAATGGTGAGTTTGTGTAGCTTTGTTACTGATCAAGATCAGCTTCATTAGTAAGGATAATTTATTTAAAGCCCAATGAGAAATAGCGGGGTCCAGTTTTGAACCACCAAAAAGCTACTCAATCAGATCAACAAATCCACTGACTAGATTTTTAGTCAATATTATCTCTCGCTCTGGTAGTTTCACACAATTTCCAACTCAAAACTTGTTTGGCGAATCCTAATTGAATGCTACTTTAACTTAAAAATGTGCATTCAGTAAACCAATCCACAACCAATCCTACCCCCTCAGGGGACTAACCCATTACTGCACATTTCGTCCCAATGTTTGTAAAATTGAGCAATTATATTCGTCACTGCCTTGGGCGTCCAGTTGAAAAACCGGTCTGAAAGAATGCCCTTCACTGCCAGTTACAAATGCTAATAATCCAATTTTCCCTTGTGCGGAATGTGTTTACTTTTCCCGCCCGAAATTGTCTACGAGGGCGGCAGCGGACGTAATGTGACTAGACATTTAAATGTTGCGTGTCACGTCCATGTACACCACAGGGTTCCATCGTTGCCACTCTTCTTGTTCAACTGTTCCTGGAACAGGAACGGTTCCAGGAATGCAGGAGCTGGTATCAGATGAACCTGTGACCGCCAATAGCGAGAGAAGAGGCCATTAAAGTTACCCTACTTTGGAGTCTTGGGAGTGGCCTGGTGTAACCTAACCTTCTTGTCTTATCTTCACGCATTCCTTCTTCGTTTAATGGCTTACCTGACCTGCCCGATTTTGACAAGTTCGATGCTTGACAAACTTTGACATGTTTGTTTGTTGATGCAAAATCTAAATAGGTACTGAGTAAAAGAACAAACTGCGTTTTTACAATTTAATCATTATTAAAAAAATATTGTTGTTATTTCATACCATAGACAAATATTTTGTCGATTTTCATACATAGAGTTATCATAAAAATTAGGTTCGTCTGAAAACTATGGTAAAACAGGTGATTGCTGTAAAAAGGTTGGTAAAAATGTCCCTTAGAGGAATAGAATACCGTCCATATAATAATTTCAGCCTAGGACGTACGAGAGATGTTTTAAAGGTTGGTTACTCTATGATAATTATATAGCTATAATTATTATGGCTGAGAGTAAATTTGTAGTAATTTGGCGATTTGTTATAAATCTGAGTACTGTCGTACTGTATAGTTATATTTTTTAGAACCAATAATTTAAACCAAATGATTAATAGAAAATTGTTTATTTATGTTTCACGATCAGCTGAACAAATACAAATATTGGCAAACACAAGTCAAAATTTAGGTTAAATTACACCGTAATTTCAGTCAATCATGAAGTCCGTGCATTTTAAAAACGCAAACGACGCGAAGGCGACAAACCCTAAGAAAGACAAACCCATAAAACCTGTTAATAAAAAACCCACGGTTGACGTTGAGGAATCGAAGATTGCAGATCAAGCTAAACGTGATGACTCAGAATGGGTCCCGAGTAGGGATTGGCACACGTATTTAAGTAGTCAGCAAACCGATGATCCAAAACTATTTCCCTGGGAAGGCAGTCGAAAGGACGACTTGAACGCAAACGCAGAGGACCTGATGCTGACCAAGCCAACTGATAGGCTAGTCGATATAAAACTGCCTACAGTCAACTTTTGCTCCAAAGATAGAATAACTCCGCGTCAACAAAACGTCACCATATCGGATCTCGGAGACGGAGACAAGAGTAGAATAGCGCAGTTGGTGCAAGAGTTGGCAAGGTGCAAGCAAGAGAAACAGGAAGACGATGAGACAATACTCATGTTGAAAAACAAAGTGACTGAACTGAAAACATCAATGAGGAAACTACTATCGAATCGCAGCCCTGAGACTAAAATATCTAAAATACAATCCAAAAACGAAGTAGAACAGCAAGCGTTGAAAAATCAGTTGTCAGAATTGAATCGACTGATTTACCAGACGCAAGTTCAAAAAGCGAACACAGAAGTTCAATTGAGAACCATCGCTACCCAAGCGGAGAAGATGACGAAGATAATACATGAGATGCACCGGGAGAATACTGATCTTCAAGTCGAGCTGAGGGTCACGAAAGAACGTTTAAGCGTCGCTCAAAACGCTGTTGAGAAAATTACCAAAGATTTGCAGAGTGTTCAGAACCAAATGAAACCCACCATGGAGGATAAGGCTTGTCAATCCGTAGAAGACCTTGGATCGGTTAGTGTTCAAACTGAACAACAAACTAATGGAAACAAATTTAAATTCGGAACAAACAACTCCGATGTCATTCCGGAAGACCAACGCATTCTTTGTGAGTTGTTCTTTAATAAATCTATGCAAAATGAATTCGCACCGAAAGAAACCGTTATCATTCTTCCTTCTGATTCCATCCCGTTTTTTACTAAAGATTAGGCGAAAAATTATTTTGTGTCGGAAATATATTTATTTTATGTATTTTTATGTTCACCACTATATATTATACACTGATAAATATTTTATTACTTATTTATATATGTGGGCTTTAGTTTTGTGTTTTATCTACAGTATAGCATAGGTACATTTTAGCGTTATTCGTAAAATTTCCAACAATACATTTTGAAACCAGTTCCTAGCCGTATTTATAGTTTACCAAGCTAAATGACGGTTTCCAATACATACAGAATGGTGTAGTAAACTATGCGATAAATACACAGTAGGTAAAATTGTGTAACTCATATGCAGCTAGGCTTAGAAAGGTTGTGAAAGCTAGACAAATAATGATTTCACTCTTCTAGCGAATTAAAATTGTTTTGATGAATAAATTATAGGCTCATTGATAAAGGGAATACAGTACTAAAAGAGTATACAGTAGTAAGATCGTAGCCTTATATCGTCGCTTAAATAACATTAGCGTGGCAATCGTTACTACAGACAAGGGAATACCTAAACTACCTACTGCATTTGAAATCATGCATAAACATTTTATTGAACATCCCTGAATTGTTGTGAGAAAATCTTTCTCCATTATCTTCATGCCTTTTTACAAGGCTATCTAACAACAAAACTTGTTTTCTTTTATACCAATTTGTAAATCTGTTACCCAAAGGTCATTCAACTTTCATTCACAATAGGTAGAGGAAGGAGGTTAACATACCAGAAGCTTCATTGTAGTAGACGTTGATGCGTTCGAGCTGTAGGTCGGAAGTTCCTTGGTACTTGCCCGTGGGGTCGATACCGTGCTCCTCTGAGATCACCTGCCAGAACTGCAACAAACAAGACAGCTGTTAGTGGAGGTCTCAAAGGGGGAGAAAATTGGATGGATAGAGGATATAAACAATATATGGCTTTCCATGATGGATCTGGAAGGTAAGTTTATTAGTTCTTTCCTAAGGACTTGAGCAATCAAATTCTACAAGACAGAGGAATATTATGGTTGTCTGGGACCCAGGAAGTCACATTATCTTTTTGGGATTTTAACCAAATTAGCAACGCTTTCTTTACTTTATCATACATCATGCAAAACTGTTTATGATTATGATTATGATTAGATTAGTTAGCTGTGGATATTGAAACTAGTAAAGGATTGCTTGAAATACTGGTCATATTTACCTCGGCGGGTTACTGTTTATCTTAAAATACTCTCAATTGTCTCACTAGAAACGTAAATGTTTTAAGAAATTCACTTCCGAAATATACTTTCTTGGCTGTAGTGTATTAATAGTTTGTAGGGTACGCTTTCTTTTTGTGTATTTCATTGTAAAACAACATACCAAAAATTGTTTCATAGTTAAGAATTTATTTATCAAAAATCTGTAGCAAAATACAGGTCGTCTATCAACTATATATCCGTATGTACCTTGACATTTTAATCTTTATCCTTGCTGTCAATCCCATTAGTTATCCAGTATCATTAATCCCATAAAAGTCCAGTCAACAGGCAATTACTCCAGTTGTAATGACAAATGCCGGAGCAGGCCGTGGACGTGGTCTGGGTAGTAACGACCCGAGGTAGTAATAGTGTAGTGACGGACTAACAAACTAGTTAATCTTGGAATTGTCGAGCTTTTCAGTCAGGATATGTGTTTGAGAAACTGATTGTAGTTATATTTTTACGACTGTTACAGTTCCTGTGGGTTTATAACATCATCCATTAATACTATTAGGCAATGACGTTATACCCCTACTATGAGTAAAGTTGGCAGTATTTTCAGCACAAAAAGTAATTAGTCGGCTATAATCGAATTTACTTATGGCTCAACAGAAGCTATGCCCAGGACTATGTCCCCTTATAGATAAGTAGGAGAAGACTAAAGAAGACATCTAGCAGCTGGAGATTGTTTGACTTGAGTGGTATCAATGTAAATAACTCAAGACAAACAGGACTGTCTGTTTGTCTGGGCCACTACAGACTACAGATAAACAGACATCACTTTCTCAGTTACTGTGTCTCGATCGATCACTTGTTATCACGACACTGGCCAGGCAAGATAACATTTATAAAGTGACTCATTTAAAATGCAATGTAGCTTACTGATCACATTATCCACAACCCTTACAAGGTTAAACGTCGTACTAACTTTACTGTAGATGTACAAAATAAACATTGTCCAAGCAGTTTTGGTGGTTAGAAGGCAGTGAATGCAAATGTTGGATCTAGATAAGTTTGTTTATGGGGTTAAGGTAAATTTCGCTTATCAGCTAAACTAGTTTTACTCTTGATTTCTATTGGGTTATTCAACAACAAGGTTCTGTTCTAATGGTCAAAGATGCACTGTCTCCTTAAACAACTACCGTGTGTATTAACACGTTCAATCATACCGACCAAAACCAACTACTTTCACCGACCGCTGTAGAATTTTTCATACATTCCACCAAGTAACAATTCATGTATACAATCAAGGCATCCTACTTTCACAGACGTTTGACGACCAGACACTTCGTGGTAGGTCCAATATATTGGATCGTTATAAGATTGCAATAAATGGTTGACAACATCCTCCAATTACGACCAGTCCAATCTGTACAGAACGACAGAGCAATCTACGTCTGCGTTCACCACTTCCACTTCTACCGTACATCCCGTTGCGGCTGTTGCTGTGGTCATGGCTCGTCGGGACAGATCGACGGGAAACCTCGAGATTGCAGTCGACTGATGAAGCGAACGAAGAAGTCGTGGAGTTCTGTCTCTTGAACACCGACGGGAAAGTTCAACGTTTCGGAGAATGTTTGTTTCAGGCAAACCGTGGTCTTCATTGTATGGTTTGCCAACTGACGAGTTTGTACTTGAGTTCTGATTGAACGCGAATAGCAAATTAATCTAGAAATCTTCAATATTTCAGAGGGAAATTGACGATTCAACAAATGGGGACAGTTATGATAACGGTTAAGCGGTGGAATACAATGAATAATTGACATTGTTGAGTGTTTTGCTACCTCATTGGTTAACGACTTCAGTCAGAGTAAGGTATGTTCCTGGCATCTCCAGAAAAGTTTGGATAGTTTGGGCCGTTTTTCTTTAAACATGTTTGTGAGACTTTCGTTGAAAATTCCACGGGTGTAGAGGTTAACAAAAATTGTATATCTCCTTGATTTAGCTTCGAATACCTTCTTTTGGCCTTTTAAACTACATTTTCTGCGACTTTACTTTTTTAAAATATTACATTTCAATAATTTCGTTTTTCATTGGATCCATACAATTCTTCCTTACAGCAAAATCAAGTACTGCATAGGATTACGTTTCGAAGTTAATGAAATCAAACCCACACAAAAAACATTACTAAGTAGTCACCAATCCATCTATACCAAACAAATTCGTTTCACCAATTCGACCTGGGAATCCTCAAGTAAAAGCACTTCAAGGATTCTTATCAGATGTTTCAAGAGGAGCCTCAGTTGAAGCAAAGCAAGAGGCTCTTGAAGATGAAACTCGAGCTAGGATATTTATACTACTTTGAGTCGCACTCCAGCTGGAAGTATTTATACTTCTCCAGCTCCAGCGCCGCCACGTGGAATGCCGCGGTTATTCCAGGACGTTTCCGGGACGCAGTAACTCACGTCGCGACGTTGGAGGTCACGTTTGTCACAAAGACAAAAATAAGCGAGATGAGGACGAGACGTTTAGAGACTACAAAGCCTCTTTCTCCTCCTACGTCTATTTGTACTCTTTCCACTCTACTTCGTCTCGTGGAAACATACTAAGTATATTTAGATTGTTCAACAGTGCATTGCACTATTGAAATGATTCGTGATTCAAGTTTTGTATTTTTAACCTGTAGAAAGTTCATTTTAAATGGGGTGTTGTTATAGTAGCAAAAACATTATTTTTTAAAGCAGCTGTTTTAACTGTTTAATTGTCCTAATAAATCAACCGGTCCTATTTACCATCTGCGGTGCGTTATCGTATAACTTATTTATAAGTAACGCAAAGAGAAATAATCTATACTTATAAAAGGCAAAGTCCTCACTGACACACTCTCTCACTCACTCACTCATCACTAATTCTCCCACTTCCCATTTACCTAGGAGGCTGAAATTTGGTACACCGATTCTTTAGGCATTAAATAGGAAAACTTAAGTTGTTTTTATTCGTATCGGACTCTGGGGCTCCGCCCCAGTGGCTCTGGGGTTTCCCATGTTAACCTTATGATTTTTCATATTTAAAAGGAATTAATGAATCTTATCAGCTGTTTCAATTAAACAGGTTGGTTCTGTTCTATGATGTTCAATAGCATTATAGTTACAAGGATTACCAACAGGGTGCAGCACTATTATTTTTTTTTAATTTATGACAACAGCCAATTTGCAACCAAAAGGTGAGTGAGCGTAGTGAACGAACTTCAACCAGGACGTGATTGAGCCATGGGAACGAGCTCATCTTGAAAATTAAGAAGTTAAACGGGACAAAGCCCGCGGGTACAGCTAGTATATTATAAGCTATAAATTTATATTATCTCTCTGCAAGTAACGTTTTACCATAGATTAAGGGAGTAGACCATTCATCTATGGAATCTACTCTTTAATCTGTGGTTTTACTTAAGATCAACACAGTTTTTTTATGTCTCTTTGTACATTATATTGTTTTTTAGACCAATTATTGATAGAATATTTTTAAATCAATTTATTATCTATTTTTAAAATGGTTGTTGAAATTGTATTTTAAACGTTAGATAGCTTGTAGGAGGGGCATTTAAAACCTTGATGCAATCTAATAGATCAGCCGTTTAGTAATTGCTTTATTCTCGTAAAATCGGTAACAATACTATCATATAATTTATTTATGTAATTCTTCACTAGATAAAACTTAGTTACTGATTATCTTCCACTTATCCAACATTTTATGGCTTTACAGTAGTTGAAATTAATTTTACTGGGGGCATTCCCATTATATGCTTGAAACATCGTCGTTACTCTCAGAAAACCATTATATTGCACATCTACAATCGAACAACAGAAACTGTACGGAAGGAAAGATCGAACACCACAGTTTATAAACGATAT